AGCTGTGGCCAAACACAAGTGCACAGCTGCAGATTGGCCATTTTTTTGAAGTAATCAGGTGAAAATCTGAACCCTTAGTGCATGAGGAGTCAAATGAAAACATTTGAAAATTGAGCGTCTACTGTAAGTTCTGTCTGGGCTGCATACCAGTCTCAAGGTGTTTTTCAGAATGGGATAGGGGGAAGAGAAAGAAGGAAGTTCAGTCTGAGGGATTTTTCAGCCCCTGCTGGAAGGCGGGTGGGGCATTGGGGGGGTTCCAATATGCCCATCCACCCCCAAAACCTACTGGGGGACCCCTAGAATGAGCTCTCTCTGATCTCTTTCTCCCCCCCCCCCCCCCCCCCCCTCTGAGCTCTCCCCACTGAAACAGCAAGTCCAGGGGAGCTGCAGGTCAGGTCCAGCTCCCCTGTGCTGTTTGGGGGGTACTTTCTGCACAATAACTTTAAAGCAAAAAAAAAAAAAAAGCAACCTGGAGAAATATGATCTTCAAGTAGCCAAAGAAATTTGGTGGCGGTGGCGAGAGGAATCCATCCATCAATCGCATGGTTATAGGACGTGATGGGCTATTTTATTTTCGTGGAATTGCTCTTTCTTCGCTTTGTGTTTTATTGTATTTTATTTTATTTTCCAAAGAGGCTGGAAACAGCCCTTCAGAGGTTTAAAAAAAAAAAGAAAGAAAAGAAAAGAAAAGGAAAAGAAAGCAAGAAAAAAGCGCGTTTGCAAGGCTGGAGAGGCTGAGGGCAGTCGTCCCATGGCTGCTGCGGATTCAGACACCACCAAAAAGAAACCCCCCCAACTCCATTGTGTGCTATTTTCATAAGGGGAAAGGGTGGTTGAGCGGGTGGAGAAGGAACAAAGGGAAGAGAGGAAGAATTTGGGGAGGGGAGAGAAAGGGAGGAAAGGAGGAAAGAAGGACAAAGAGACAGAGAGCAAGGTACAGGATCGGAGGGGGGAGCTGGGAGCCTTTCTGCTGCTCAGGGATTAAAATGAAAGCGAGGGGCGATGCCTGCAAGGTTGCTTTCGTTTTGTTCCGAAAGCCAAGACGACCCGCAGCCCCCCGAGCTGGACTTCTCCCCTGAGCCGGGGGGCGTGCGGGGCTGCGGGGAAGGGAGGGGGGAGGGCAAAAAACCCCCAAACCCAAAAACCCGGGTCTTTTTTTTTTTTTTTAATCCGAACTTGACAGTGTTAATTGAACCACGGGAGAGCGGGGAATGCGTGTTTGGACGCGGGGCTTGTCTGCCTGTCAAGGGTGGCGAGGTGTCTGCTGCTTCCAAGGCCCTCGCCGGAGCTCGGGCTGCGGATCTCGGCGGCCGGGAGCCGGGGGCTGCTCGGGCTGTGGCTGCAGGGAGCAGCCTTGCGTTGCTTTCCCAGCTTCAGGGTGCAAATCCCAGCAGCTGCTCTGCAGCCCCTGTGCGGGGACTGGCTGGTGCTCTCCAGGCCTGGAGCTCCCACATGGGGAGGTTTCCCCCCTTCCCCTCTCTCCCACCCCTTCTTCCAGGTTGGAATTGCCCAAACTAGAGTTTTCCAGCCCTAAACTTCTCCAAGTGTTGTGTATTTCCAACGCAGCCTCTCGGAGCTGAGCAGAACCACACAGGGGACTTGATTACCACCCCCCACCCCGACCACCACTTTTTCTTTCTTTTTCTTTCTGCATTCATTTCTTTTTCCTTGAAAAAAGCATGGGGCGAGTTAGCCAAGGGAAAGCAAGGCAGAAAAACACATCAACAGGGACCCAAAGCCTGTGACCATGGGCAAAGCAGCCAGAGGAGAGCTGAGATTTCTATCCCCTGCACAACCTCAGCAGATCAGCCTGCAAAGAAGTGGGGGGAAAAAATGAGCCCAGTGAACTGGAAAGCAGCTGGCTCCAAAAAGGTGTGAGATTTCAGCTTCTCAGGGCACTTCTCAAATAAATACATATATAAATAAACAGCTTCCTTGATTTTCTTTCAGTAAGGAAGCTAGCCTTTTTTTAAAATATCTGTATAAATCCTGGGTTTTACTTTGTTGGCGGGGAGGGTGTGTTTGAATTTCCCAGTGGTGTGTTGCTTTGGTTAAAGGCAAAGCGTTTGGGGTTTTCTTATTTGATTTTATTTGGCTTGCACAAGCAAGGGGGAGATGGGAGGAGAAGGAAGATAATAGGTAATCACCCTTAAAAGCAAGTGAGGAAGCTACTGAGTTTACAGAGTAGCGAAATGTTGACTCAATAGCTACAAGCGTCTCTTTGCAAACTCAAGGCATATTTTAATTGCCCCGTGCACTCCTGGCTGGGAACTTTGCTCTGAAGATTATTGCAGGGGGGTTATTTCTCAGCCCCATGTTTGGACTCGACTTGATCCCTGCAACTTTACGTTTATCCATATGGAGAGGGGTTAGCATCCCTGTACCAACAGGGAGGAAACAGGGGCTTGACGTGGGCTCAGGATTATATTCTGCCAGGGCACAGCTATAGGTTTCTGATCATATTCATTAAACCACCTTTAGGTTTTGTTCTGAGATGAGCTGCCTCTGTTTTGCCTGGGCTGTTTCTCAGAGGCAGGCTGTCCCTTGAATTAAAGACGCTTGTATTGCAAACGCTGCGGGTTTTATTTGGGCGGGGGGGGGGATAATAAATCCAGTAGCAAGATGGGGGGTGAATAATTCTAAGTGGCGAAGGTTGCCTTGTAAATGCAAGAAATCTTTTGCCAGCTTCGTGTTTCCCTTTGTGTAACACAAAAATGCACCATTCAGGGCTACCTTAGTGACCTTGTCTGCTCACATTAAGGTTACCAGGACTGCTTTTTCCTTAAAAACCTTGTTGGTTTGATAAAGTCTGCTCTAAACATTTCATGTCTTCTCTCTTTTGGTGGCTTTCCCCTACCACCTCTCCCCCCTACCCTCATTTTCTCTCTCTTTCTCTGCCCTGGCTGATCCCCTTTCTGCATCTGTCTGCAGACCACCGTCCTTTTATAAGGTTTCTTTTAAATATAATTCAACCCTGCAACAAAGCCAAGTTCCTTGTCGCCTCCACGTTTTAATATCACAGCATATCAACCACGGTGGAGAGTAAGCATTTTGCTATTTTTCTTAAGGAAAAAAAAGGGGGGGACTGGGAATAGATAAAGAATGATGAATTTATTTTTTTTCGCGTGCACATAAAAATAGCCATCATTGGAGTCTTGTGATTGACAGATAAATTGATCTCAATAAAGGCCAAAGGGACGTGATACTCCTATAGGACTATTTCCCTTTAAGGGCTCACATAAAACATAGGACTTCAAGCGAGAGCAGAATAAATTCTCAGGGATTTGGGCGAGATGATGACTTTCCTCCTCTCCACTTTGGGGCTCCTAGAACACATGAGCCCCCCACACATACACTCCCTTTCTATTGCCAGGGCCCCCTTTTGTAGCACGAAACACTTTTTTTGCAGCAGTGGTGCTTGATTCCTAAGGTGAATTAAGGTGCAAGTCTGTCTTCCCTCAGCTAAGAAATGGGCTGCAACTTTCTAGGGTCTGGGAGGTGGGGGGCTTTCTGAATAGCATCATGTATACATTTCTCGGTGTGCATTTAGCTCCCTTTCTCTTCTGTCTGCGGAACTTAAACAGAGAAAAAATGGAGAAGAACAAGAAATGAATCCATTCCTGTCTTGGGATTGTTTCCTGAGACTTGCACACACTGTCCATAATGTCATAATGCCTCTCTAAGGGACACAGGAGCCCCCACACTGCCTCTCCTTTCTGTCTCCAGAAGAAACCACCATAACCTCCCTCTCCTCCCCAGTTTGGACCCTCAGCTCTGCCCAGTTGCCCTGAAATCCTGAAGTGATGCCCCGTCCTTGAGAGCACCAGACCATCCACCTTTGGGGCTCCTTTAGGAAAATCAGACGTGATTTCTGCTACTCCTAATTTTCCCCTCTTCTTCCAGAGAAATCATCTTAACTCCATTCATCCAATGGGCGGGAGCTATTTATCTACCTGCTTTTCTCTACGAAAGAGGTTATTTCTTTCCAAATGCAGCCAGGACATTAAGTGTTGTTGCTTTTGTTTTGTTTTGTTTTTTTTAATTCAGCCAACTTCTGCCATCGATTTGTTGTGGGGTTTTTTTTTTAAGTTTCAGTGCCTATCTATTTGTTAAAAAAAAGCATCCCTTCAAGTATGAGCCACATTGTTGCTTGCTCTTAACATGCCAAAGACTTCTCCTTCCCAGCTACGCCTTGAGAGCTGAAACTTGGGCTTACAGTTTTATTTAATGAACGACACATTTATGAACAATCAAATGATCCTCGTAAAAATTTTATTGAAGGACATAAAAACATCCCACGGCTACTCGCCGAATAATGTAGCCCTTTCACTGCTAACGCCGAGAGTCATTTTTTTTTGGGTGTGTGGGGGGGGGGAGGTGATTATTTCCCATTCATGTTTTAAAAGGGGATTCCCTGCTTTGCTTTATGCCTTGCTTTTTTAATTCCTCTCCTCCAGCGGATACTTCTGTTTAAAAAATAGATTACATGTGCATGTGGCCAGCAGATTTCTCGCTGGTGATTAGCGCTACACAAGATGACAAAAGAGCCACTTCTTTTTTTTAAGGGGAGAGGGAGGCTTTTTTCCTTGGGAAAGGGGGTGGGGGGTGTCGAGGCTGAACTCTCCTAGACTTCCCAGCGATGTCTTTTTACTGATATTCCGTGTAATGTATCCATTACAGAATACAAGCTGCAGAAGCAAAAAGACAGAGACAAATTACGTCAAGAAATAGTTCCTGGGTTACCTTACCCTCCCCACCTTCCCGGCTGCTCAGCTGGAGAGCCCCCCCCCCTCCCCTCCCCCTCCCCAGCCACCGAGGGAAAGCCACCTTTCGCTAATGAAATGCAAGCTGCGTGCCTCCTAATATCTGCCTTATTTCAAGAGTTTCGTGAAAAGCCAGGTCGCCGAGGCGCTATTAAAAAAAGACCTGCGGATTGATCCGCGCGATATTTTTGGGTAAATACAATCACGTGAGCGCGGGGAGCCAATGGCCAACTGGGAAAGGCTGAAAAAATAATTACCTGCCCTGATTGTTCTATGAGAAGATAAAAAGTACACATACAGTTCATACAATAATCTTATGAATGTAAAAGAGGGGGGAAGGATGTCCGCTTCGGGCCCCATAAGCAACTATTATGTAGATTCCTTGATAAGTCATGAGAACGACGAGCTCTTGGCGTCCAGGTTCCCCGCCACTGGCTCGCACCCCGCGGCCGCCAGACCTTCAGGATTGGTACCGGACTGTGCCGACTTTCCGTCCTGCAGTTTCGCCCCTAAACCGGCCGTGTTTACTACTTCCTGGGCTCCCGTGCATTCTCAGTCGTCCGTGGTTTACCATCCGTATACGCACCAGCCGCACATAGGGGCTGACACCAGGTATATGCGCACTTGGCTAGAGCCCATCTCCGGCGCTGTGTCTTTCCCAGGCTTCCCACCCAGCAGCAGGCATTACGGACTCAAGCCGGACGCTTTCCCCGGCCGGAGGGCGGAATGTGGCCCGATGGACGGGCGAGGTTATCCGGATTATATGTACGGATCCCCGGGTGACCTGAGAGACAGAACACCGCAGACAATTCCATCCCCGGAATCTGAAACCATCGCTTCCAGCAAACACAAAGAAGAAAAGAACGAATTAGACCCTAGTAAGTTGAAGTCATTCTTGTTTACAACCGGGAAGGCATTATAGCCTCTAGTACAGTACTCAATAAAATGAAATTACTTTAGAGCGCCGTCCCCTAAATCTGCGAGGCTCCAGGAAGAGCTGGGTTTAAAATAAAATAAAAGAACAGAAAAATATAAAGGAAAAAGAAAGCCCTCTAGGAGAAGCTAAGACCGAGCCGTGAGCGTTTGGGTTATTTTCTAACAGGAGAAGGGGGGAAGCTATTGGTTTCTTTGATAAAATATTCCTTGCCCCCCCCTTCCCCGGCCCCTTCCACCAAAAGAAAAAGAAAAAAAAAAAAAAAGCAGCTCTTTGGCTTGCAGATATTCCCACTTCCCAACAGCAAAAGGAGTTGGGCTCAGCTCCCTTCTGGCTGGGAGCTGGTTCCCTGGTGTGGGTGTGTGGAGAGAGGGAAGATCCCAGAATAAACAGAGCTCTGTGCAAAGGGAGGAAAATTATAGATCTGTCTAAATATACAAGCCATTCAGGGAAGGATCCCTTACAAGCCTCCAACACATGGGAAGCAATGGAAGGGCAGGCTGTCCCCAGCGAAGGCTGAGCCAGGAGGGTGAGGAGCTGGAAGAAGAAAGGCAGGGGAGAGTCTATAGGGATAAATAAAGGAGCATCTTTAGGCAGGACACTGGACCATCCACTTGGAGAAACATCTTCTTTAGTCTCAGGGAGAAAGGAGGGGAGGGGGGGGGTGGGATGTTCAAGGAAACCTTGAACATAGCAGGGAATTAGTGGAAGGAGATGCCTCTTACCCCATGACAAATGTAAGCATTTTTTTTCCACACTATAAAACTCTCAGTTCAAATTGCACGTGTGTCCCTGAAGCACAGGCAGTTGCTTCTGTGAGCACGAGCAGCTCAGGGAAGGCACAAGTCAGGGAACCCCACTTATATCGGGGACCCCCCTTCTTGGGGGGCACCTGGAAGAGACCCCCCCTCCATACGCATCTATGTGAGCGTGGCTGTGGGGCTGCCCAGATCCAGGCGCGCGCACACACACTCACAGACACACACACACACACACACACACACACACACAAACATAAGCATGTCATGTGTTTATTAAACCTTCTGGCCTAACAATCCGATCAAATGTTGATTTATAAATTAGGAGCCTGTGTGGTGCGTGTGGGTCCAATCCCAGCTGTATCGATGCATCTCCAGATAGAAATCAGCAGAGCTCCTTCTGTAAGGCAGAGCTAGGATACAACGTGCAGCTGAACCTGGGAGCATATTCCCCTTTGCTGGGGAGAAGCTCTTTTAAAAGAGGGAGGTGGGGAGGGCAATGAAAGATATCATTTTAAAGCTCACACACTTTTGTCACGGTTCCAGGTCTAACAAAGTGGGGCTGGGGGCAGCAGAAAGAAGGAGAGGATTTTTTGAGGCTTCAAAACTGGTTCAGGGAGCCAGTCAGTTTATCCTGTGTCATCCTCAAGATATTAAAACAAATAAACCAGGCGATCCAGAGCTGGTAGACTTCTCCAGGAGGCATGGGTTGTAAAGAGAGTTTATGGGCCTGTGAAATGGTGGGAATTTTGACTTTTTATGACTATGTTCTTAGATTACTCCTACCAGAGCTCATGTGGATCATTATTATTTTAAGCCCATTGCTAGAGTTTTATTTACTGAAACTTTTATGTGCAAGCAACAGCGAAAAGAGAGGAAATGGTCCCTCCAAAATAAACATTTTAAACTCTTCTGAAGGTCACTTGGAGATATTTAGCTAATATTCCCTAATTAAACAGGTTTCTTTAAGGGGAAGGGTATGGGAGGAAAGGACTGGGCGCTGGAGGGTGAGGGGGGAGGTGAGGAAGAAAATCAGGATATATATAAATATATATTTTGGGGGGAAAATTTTTCTCTCTATCTTCTTTCCCAGGCAACCCCGTCGCGAATTGGATTCATGCACGCTCCACAAGGAAGAAAAGATGCCCCTACACAAAATATCAGACCCTGGAACTGGAAAAAGAGTTTTTATTCAATATGTACCTCACGCGAGACCGGAGATACGAAGTAGCCAGGGTCCTCAACCTCACTGAACGCCAAGTCAAAATCTGGTTTCAAAACAGGAGAATGAAAATGAAGAAAATGAATAAAGAGAAAACCGATAAGGAACAGCAATAAAGTTGGCAGAGTCCAATAAGTGCAAGAGAAACGAGGGTGAGAGAGAGAGAGAGAGAGAGAAAGCAAGAAAGCAAGCAAGCAAGAAAGCAAGCAAGCAAGAAAGAAAGCAAGAAAGACAGAAGAAAAAAAGCTGTTTCTTTGGTCCGAAATGTTTCTGACTTTGAATGTGCTGATGAGTGTTTAGAATTAGGCAAACACAGCAAAACCCGTTGGACGCACCCTGCTTTTATAAAGATGCAGCTCAGTAATAAAACCAGAGGTCGTTTTTAGTTTGGGGGTTTGTTTTGGGGTGGGTTTTTTTTTGGTTCGGTTTTGTCCTTTTTGAGAAAACAAGCAAAAAAAAAAGTACTTGAATTTTTTTTTAATTTAGTATTTTATTCCGTAACTTAAAACTTCTCCAGTGTTTTATTTTTTAATTTCTTGAGTTTGTGAGTGCATATTTTGTACAAAAAAAAAAGGGGGGGGGAGAGGAAAAAAATAGAGAGAAAAGAAGAAAAATAAAGAAAAGAAAGGGGTTGGGGTGGGGCGGGTGGGGGGAGATCACTCCATAATGTTCTGTCATAGTGTTTGGACGTTTTTTGGTGTACTTATTTGTGTATTTTCTTCCTGTCTCACCGTTCTGTAATATTGTTCCGTTTTGCTATAGTTGAGCAGCTTTATGTAAATATATACCTAACATCACAAAAAAAAAAAAAAAAAGAGAGAGAAAAGAAATGCTAAAAAAAAAAAAAAATCCTTATCCTGTAGGTGTCCTTTATTTAAACATAGCAACTACCAACGTGCACGGGGGAATGTGTGGTTCCTCCTCCTGTTTAAAAGCCCTTGCAAAATCGCGCCAGGGAATTTTAGCCCTGATAAGAAATCGCAGCCTGTTGAAATGGAGGGTGTATGTGTGTGTGTGTGTGTGTGTGCTGTGTGTGCATATGTGCAAACCCACCGTCTTGCAGAAAGCGAATGAAGAAGGGATGGAGGCGAGGGGGGGAAGGGGGAAAAAAAAGAGACTGGCTTCCGCTCACAACATTTTATATTTAATAGTATCATCATAAAATGCGTTTAGGTAAGGGTTATCCGTGCCATAAATTTTTAGTTTGGGATAATTAATTGTGCTAATTTATGACCCCAGGCAATCGAAGTATATGTAAAAGATTAAATATGTATGCCGGGGAAGTGTGCAACATTGCTCTGTTTGACAACCGCCTGTATTGCAACTGCTGCGTGTTAGCACTGAAGTGCGGGGACTTAGAGAGGGGTTTCTGGAGCTCCTGCAACACACAGGCTCCTTCTTGCCTGGCAAAGGACAATGCAGTGGATGGGAGAGGACTGTAAAAAATAATAGGTTATGAGAAGAATGAGGAGAGGGGAAGGGGATGTGCACGAGGTGGTGAATTTGGGGGTTAAAAGTCTCCCTTGTTTTCCACCCCCCTGTCCCCAGCAGCGGTTGTTTGCAAAGGCAAGCAGAGGCGTAGAGAAGGGGCTAGGGGAGGGGGGCGTTCAGGCTGGATGGTGGCTCGTGGCGATTTCCCTGGCTCAAAAGCAGGAGAAGGCGCTGCCCAAAGACACTCAATGGCTGATATCCCCGAGAGCTGGAAGGGGCTGGATAAAAAACGAGCAGCCGGGGATGTTTCATCATAAAAACTTGTTGCGGGTCCCTTTTCTTTAATGAAACGAGCAGGGCGCTGTTTTAATCTTCCTAATCAAAGCCAGAGCAGGCTGGGGGGAGATGTTTGTCGCCTCCAAACCAGGCGCTCCCAAAATACAAAAATCTGGAAGCGATTACCCGGGGAGCTCAGAAAAATATCGCTCTTTCATATTTCTTCCCTTGGCATGTGGAGGGGGCTTTGGCTTATGGATTTGTCTGCGCCAGGGCTTGTGTGTGTGTGTGCGTGTGTGTGTGCGCGCGTGCAAAAGGGGCGAGATACATTCATCTCAGCATCCTCAGCATCCTTGCAAAGCCAGAAGCCCCACGTTTGCAAGGATCTTAAGGAGCCCAGGGAAATGTTCAGGGTAACAATATTGTAGTAGACCGAGGGGCTAAAAGAGCTGATTTGACTGAAAAAACAACTAGCCCACTCCATTCATGTCTTTATTTCCCTTCCTCCTGCCCCCTTCACTCAGGAACCTCGATTGAAAGAAGCCGGGAGGGTCTGAACACGGTATTTGCAGTCATGGGTGATGGTGGGGAAAGGATCCTTTGCTTTGGGGGAGTTCTCCCCTTTAGCAAGGGACTTTGCGAGCAGCCTCGGACCCACCTCTCTGGAGATGCCTATGTAATGAGACGCTGGGGCTAAGGGTGGAAAGCAATGATGTATGCCCCCCCCCCCCAAATTTTGTCCCCTTCAATTCAAAGCACTCTCATCCCCCAGGCGACCGCAAGAAACTTCCCTCGCCCTGCCCATCTCGTAGCCTTCACACAGGCAACCCACACAGGCAGCCCAAGAGGCAGGGAAGAATCCGACCCCTTTTGTCTCCAGCTAAGTGCGGTGGGGCTGTCTTTTGTTCCTGCTGCCTTGGTTGCTTTTAAATCCCTGCTGCAGTCCCAGTTCACGGGCAAGGCTTCTGTAGCACCCCCCCATATCTAGAAGTGGCATTTGGTCCTGCAAAGGGGGAAGCGGGGCGGGGGGGGGCGTTGACCATAGGACTGGAATGTGCTGCCTTGGGAGGTTGAGGAGACAGGCAACGGGGCTAAAAATAACCCGAATTAAAAAAGAAAAAGAAGAAGACATGAGCACACAAAGCAGAAGGTGGGCTTGAGTCCTTGAATGGGATCGAAAAGGCTCCGGTGCAAGGGGCTGGCGAAGGGATATGTGCGGGTGCATGTCATTATTTTCCTGCTGTAGTATTTTTTTGTGTGGTTGTTTTAAAGGACGATCTGTTTGTAAGGCGCGCACACACACACACACACATACACACGCACACACACACACACACAAAGCCAGCATACCGCAGCTTTGAAAGCGGTCCATAGGTGCACTTCCGCAGCAGAGGAAGAGGGGGGCAAAAATGCTAGTTTTACAACTCTGTTTGTCTCACTGCTATGCGCGCTGAATAGGAGCGAACAAAACAGGACTTCAGATCTGGCTAGACGTCTGGCTTTAATTGTTTTATGGTTTAAATAAGGTGGGTGCTCTCTTCTTTGAAACCAGATTATTGGAATGTTTTGTCTACAAGCTACAAACAACAGACCCCCCTTGGACGAGAGGAGAGGGGGAAAGGGAAGCAGGGGGGAGGGAAACTCCCCCCACCCTTCAGTTAAAAACTGATAAAAGCACTGCAGTTTGGAGGAGGGTGTTTGTGTGTGTACACATCGGGCCTTAGTTTTTATGGGATCCTTAAGCAGAAAAGAAGAAGGGGGTGGGGAGGGGATCCCAATCCGCTACACCCACTGCAGCGTTGATATAACAACAACCACAGGCGCACTGTTTGGTGAGGGGTCATTGCAAAGCTCCTGGTAAATCAACAATGCATGTAATTGTTGGTTATAAAATGCCTCCTGATTATCCCCACGCATCCTGGAGTTTAGGCAACCCGTTTGGGGTTTTCTTTGGCTTTCTTTTTAGCCCGAATTGGATGTGTTTGCGGAGGAGACTCCCCCCGCCCCTTCCCTTTTCTCTCTCTTTTTAATGACAGAAGGGACTTTTTTTGTGTTCCGAATACAAGGTGTCTTGGAGGAAGCCAACGCACGATGGCGCTGTTGTTCAATATTAGAAGTAGTCGGGCCCGGGGAGGTACAAAGCGTGCCGTTGCATCCACAGGCCTCTGAAAGGTTTCAGGAGGAAAAAAACCCCAAATCAAAACAAATATGTATCCATTCCCTCACCTATGACTTGTAAATTAACATCTAATGTGTGCTGGAGAAGCAAACGCATTAAGCAACTGTCAAGGACCCGGGGTCTGTGCGATTCTAAAATAAAAGGATCATCTCTGCAAGAGATAGCTGGTTGAAAAGGAAAAGCTCAGACCATCGTAAATTAATTATAGCTGATGAGACACCTTCCGTCCAGCATCCACTAGCAAATACATAAAATGCTGAGGAGAAAGCTGCTTTGTTTGAAGTCTTGTTCTTTATTAGCGCTAACACACGTTACACATGTTGCAGAGGCTCTTGGCGAAGGGAAAGAATAGCGGAGGCGATCACATTTTGGGTTGCAAAGCAGAAGAGAAAAAGGGGGAGGGAGGTGGGGAATAAACCCGAAATCCGTACAATGAAGTCTCTTAAAGTACAATACAGTTGTATTTATAAAGCTACATTGCAAAGCAGGCATACACAAACTAACATGGGAAACGCGGAGCTCCACAAACTCCCACGGAGGCACAAAACACAACGCAGAAGAGACAAAGAGCAGCACCGTAAATGTCACGATTTTTTTTTAAAGCCCAGAGGATTGCATATCACTGATCTGATGTGTGTGTGTGGTTCTTTAAATAAACCCCCAAAAACAGACCTTGAAGGGAAACATTTATTGTTAAGCTCTCACGCAATTAAACAAATATGACTCAACTACCCAGTGCCTCTTTGATTATGACACAAATGCGTATTCGGTTGGGGGGGGGGGAGAAAATTCAATTTCTAGGAGATACAATTCAAATCATCCCCATATTTGACATCTTTTCTTTTCCAGCCACATCGTGGAATAGCTTGGGATCCTCATTCTCCAGATGATTCAATCCATTCCCAGCATGGTTAGCTAGAAGGGCTGGAAAAGTGGGCATTATAGGGAGGCTACTTATATAAAATAGCTCGACTATTAGCTGCTAATTAAATCTTCTATTCCCACCTGTCTTTCCCCCATGTTATTTGCTATTTTCTGGGGGGGAAGGGGGGGGGGTCAACATCGTGGCTTCTCAAGCTAAAATCGACCTGTTAATCCCACCGTGTTTACTCTTTATTTTTTAATTTGTGGGTAATCGTTTCTCAGTGTCCATATATCTTTTCCTTGAAATATTATCTCCTTTGAATGGAGGATATATCAAGGAATATTTCCTTGAAATATTCTCTCCCTTTGATGTTTCCCATTGATACAGGTCATTGTGTATTTGGGGGGGGAAATCATCCAAATCCCAGTCCATGAAGCCTTTCCAAAGACAACACGTGCCTATTTATTTGATTTGGGAAGGCTAATAAACATTGGAAGGAAGGAGTCCCCTTGTCCCCCCCTTCTTCCTATTGGTAAGAGATCTGCTAAAAAAAACACATCCACCTTACAATCTCACGAGAGATTTTTAACCGATTGCTGTCACAAGGCACAGGGATTTGGACTTTGCTGTTTGGGGAGGGGGGTGATAAGAAAGCCTGAAAATCTCTTCGCCAGTCGGGTTTCAGAATGTATTTTCCTCCTTCACTCTTCAGATGAGGAAGCATTTCCTGGATTTGGTCTGAAATGAGTTGCCTCCCTTTTTTTAATGGAAGAGCTTAGGGGCAAATTTGGAAGGGAGGGGTTGTCCCCTGTAAAGGCGACACTGTCACTCAATCTCCCAGGATCATGTAGAGGCGCTCTCCTGATGGGCTCCTCTCCAGTTCCTTTTTTTTTTAAGATGAGGGAAATATTTATTTGCAAACTTCCCCCTCCCGAGACAGAAAAGAGGTGGGGGGGGGGGAGGTCCAGGACTGTTGGTTGGGATGCTATATTTTAATGGGCGAATTCCTTCATGCGGTCATAAAATGAAGGCTCTCACGTGAAAGATCTCAATGAATGGTTACTACTTCCAGTGCAGAAAATAC